AATGGATGAAAGACCTAAACATAAGACAGGAAGCCATCAAAATCATAGAGGAGAAAGCAAGCACAAAAGTTTTTAATTTTAACATAGTCCAATTTACATTTCCTTTTGCTACTTGTGCTTTTATGTTATGTCTAAGAAACAATTTCCAAATGCAAGTTCTCTTATTCAGTATGACTGGTGTCCTCATAAGAAGATTAAAAAGCCATATGAAGACTGAGACAGAGAACACAGTGTGATGACAGAGACATAGATTGGAAGGACAAGGATCAATGGCCATCACCAAAAGCAAGGAAGAGGAAAGACAAGATTCTGCCCAGAGTCTCAGAGGGAGAATGGCCTTGCTGACATCTTGATTCTGGAATGCTAGCCTCCAAAACCATGAGAGAGTAAATTTCTGTTGTTTAAAGCCATCTAGTTTATGGTACTTTGTTATGACTGTCCTAGGAAACTAAAATAGTCTTAGTGTTTAATTCTTTCATATATATTGCTTAATTCCATAGGCTAGTGTTTATTAAGGATTTTTGCACCTATATTAATGAGCAATATTGGTCTGTAGTTTTCCTATTTTGTACTTCATTTTCAGTTTTGGTATCAGAGTAATATTAGCTTCATTTAAGGAATTAGGAAGTGTTCCTCTCTCTTCAATTTTCTGGAAACGATTATGTAAATTGGTTTTAATGCTTCTTTCAACATTTTCTAGAATCCTCCAATGAACCTTCATATTTTGCTTGTCTCAAATATCTTCATTTTCCTATCATGCCTGAAGGATATTTTTTCTGGATTATAGCCTGTTGGGTTTATAGTTCTTTCTTTTCATCACTTTAAAAGGATTGTACTAATCCCTTCTGCCTCCATGGGTTTTGGTGAGAAACCCATTGTCATTTGCATTGTTTTTCTTATTGGTAAAATGTCATTTCTCTCTCACTGCTTTCGAGGATTTTTCTGGGTTTTTTTTCACATTAATTTTCAGATATCAATTAATTAATTAATTTCTGAGAATGAGCAGGGGAGAGGAGCAGAGAGAGAGAGAGAGAGGGAGAGAATCTTAAGCAGGCTACCTGCTCAGTGCAGAGCGAGATGTGGGGCTTGATCCCACAACCCTGGGATCATGAAATTAAGAGTTGGATGCTCAACTGACTGAGCCACCCAGGTGCCCCAATTTTCAGATATTTAACTATAATGTCTCTTGGTGTAGATTGCTTTGGATTTATCCTATTTGGAATTTGTTCGGCTTCTTCAATTTATAGGTTTATGCTTTTTGCCAAATTTAGAAAAGTTTTATCTATGATTTGAGTACTTTTTCAACCCCAACATCTTCTTTCCTTCTGGGACTCCAGTGATGTGACTACTAGATCTTTTATTATAGTATCATGTATCCCTGGAGCGCTGATAATTTATTCTTTTTAGTCTATTTTTTCTTTATTGTTCAGATTGAGTAATTTCTATTATTCTGTCTTCAAATTTAGTTATTTATTTCCTCTGTTCCCTCTGTTCTTTGTTGAGCCCATCCACTGAGCTTTTTGTTTCAGTTATTTTGTTTTTCAGTTCTAAAATTTCCACTTGGTACTTCTTTATATCTTCTAATTCTTTCTATATCTTATAATTCTCTATATCTTTGGGGGAGATTTTATACCTTTTTTCATTTATATCAAGCGTGTTTGTAATGTTCATTGCAGCATTTTTATGGTGGCTGCTTTAACATCTTTGTCATACAATGCTAATATTACTGTTATCTTGGTGTTGACATCTATTGATTGTTGTATCTGCTTGGTAGTGGTGAAAGTCCTGACTCTCTGCTAGGCCTCCTCTGACACCATTCTAGTGGTGAGAAGGAGGGATGACTCATTTACTGCTGGATAATGGTGGAAGTTCAGCCTATCCACATACTCTTCGCTAACATGAAGTGGGAGATTAAGGACACCTATTGGGGATGAAAGTCCTGGTTTCCTACCCAGCCTTCTCTGATACACCCTGGTGAGGAAAGGGTCCATATTTAGCTTTTGCTGGTGAGAATGGGGATTGGGTTGGCAGTCACAGTTTTTCTGTAATATTTGGCTGGAATAGGGTGATTGCTGTCTAAAAGTTTTGTGTGTTGCTAGGTTGCCCCTTTCTAATCCTTTGGCTAGAGAGAATGGCTTTTGTTGGGTTTGTTATTTCAGTGCCTGCTCGTGTTTCTGGGTTGTCAGCTTCTTTAGCTCTAAGTCTGAGATATATGAGGGAAAAAAGTCTGGAGAATACACCACCATGTTATTTTTTGGATTCAGAGCTGTCTTCCTAGTGTACCTTCTTTTTTCCACCTTTTTTTCCTTTTTTTCCACATAAATCTTCTTATGTTTTTGGTTGTGTTTAAGAGTTGGTACTTTATCCTAAAGACAGTGAACATATTTGAAATATTTTAGGCATTTTTAACAAGTCATTCCAGTTGGCTGCAGTGTAGATAAAGGATAAGAGGAAGCAAGACTGGAAGTAGAGGCCAGTTAGGAGACTGCTAGAGGAATCATAAAGACAATTATGTCCCGCACTTGGATGGTAACAAAGGAAATGGAAGTAAGTAGTTGAATCTGAGAGATATTCGGGAACTAAGAATCAACAGAACTTGGTGATTGTTTGATATCCAAGATAAATAAGGGAGGCAGGAATAACTTCTATGTTTCTGACTTGCACCACCAGGTGGGTGTTAGTGTATCTTGTTCTTTAGTAGCATTTGTCACAATTATAATTTTATAGTTATTTGTATATAGTTTTTGTTTAATGTTTGTCTCCCCTCATTAGACTAAGCCTGAGAGAAGAGGGGCCATGAGAGTTTTGTTCATTGCTGTAATTCCAGCACCTAGCACAATGTTTGGCCGGTAATTATATGCTCAATAAATATTAATACATTACAGTATATTTAAAAGAGTGAGCATTATTGTGGGGAAGATGATTTTGGAAATGTTATTTTTGAATATATTAAGTTTAAGGTGCCTATGAGACTGTCCCATTTAGACATTGGTCTAGAGCTTAAGAGGTAACAGTAAATAGGGATTTGGTAACTCTCTGTGTATAAATGAGAATCTAAGCCATTGAAATAGAGAGATTCAGGGGCGCCTGGGTGGCTTGGTCGGTTAAGCGTCCAACTTCGGCTCAGGTCATGATCTCACGGTCCGTGAGTTCGAGCCCCGCATCGGGCTCTGTGCTGACAGCTCAGAGCCTGGAGCCTGCTTCGGATTCTGTGTCTCCCTCTCTCTCTGCCCCTCCCCTGTTCATGCTCTGTCTCTCTCTGTCTCAAAAATAAATAAACATTAAAAAAATATAAAAAAAAAAAAGAAATAGAGAGATTCTTCATGGAGTATATAGAGAAACAAAGAAAGCCTAGAACTAAGGCTTAAGGAACTCTGCCTTAAAGTGACAAAAAAGGAAAAGGAGCTCCTAAAACAACTGGGTAAGAATAGTCAGAAAAGTAGGGGGCATACAGGAAAAGTGTAGTCAAATATAAGGCAAAGGAAAAGTGTTTAAAGAAAGAGGGAAGAGTTAACTCTGTTGTAAGTGAGAAGTCAAACAAGATAAAGATTGGAAATCATCCACTGAAGTAGTTAAAAAATTGTTTTGGTAGAGACATTGGAAGAATAAGTTGAGATAAGAACATGGAAACAGAAAATACAGACAACTCTTGAAATATGTAACTGACTAGAATAAGAGAAAAAGATGATAGCTGGAGGGGAAAGTAAAGCCCAAGGAAGATATTAGTTTCTTTGTTATTTTCAAATAGACTAGACTAGACCATGTCTAGAAGCTGATAAGAGGAGCCAATAGAAAAGAAGTTGAAGACCAGGTGGGACAGTGGAATAGTCAGTGGAGCAAATAAGATCCAGAACATTGGTAGAGGACTTTTACTTTATTTTTACTTTTATTTTTTTTAAGTTTTTATTTAAATTCTAGTTAATTAACATACAGTGTAATATTAGTTTCAGGTGTACAATATACTGATTCAGAACTTCTGTACAACACCTGGTGCTCAACACAACAAGTGCTCCCCTTAATCCCCATCACCTATTTCACCCAT